ATGTTTAAGTAAAACAGACTTTTGGCTTTTATCAGGAGTAAAATTGCGTAGTATTTAATGAATTATGTATCTGTTTACTAAAATTACTTAAATTGTTTTTTTCAAGTATCATTTTCAAAGACAGTATTCGTTCACTCCATAGTGAGAGGAGTGAATGAGTAGAGCTATATTTACTTTTCTGCCATTCAGAGACCATTAGTCGTAGCCTTAGGAACAAACATGATGTTTTTGGTAATAACATGTTTTCTGCTGTCCATTGTGATAATGTCTGCCAAGTCTCAATATCAAAAGTAGTTATTTTCTGAGCCCAAGATAATTTGATGAATAGCTGCTATCTCTGATTAGACTTAAGGATTTCCTATGTTGTAAAGTTTTTGGAATAATATTTTGTGGATTAAGCTTTTAAGACATTTTTAAGAAGATCAGTCAGCATCAGGCTTAACTACTTGTTTTGGTTCCTTAGGAAATCTCAGATTGCAGGGGAATCATGAGTGTTTCTTTTGAAGTGTGTATAAACACATAATTTGTGTTTATACATGAAACATGTTATATATGAGCAAAGGTATCTGAAATTTTAATGAGAATTTTGTCTTATTTGAGATACAGGAATACAATTGAACACTTAAATATGGAGAGACTGTTTGGGATTTCCCTTTATAAAGAACAAAAGTCTGAAGCAAACTTTTTTTTTTTTTTTTGAATGTACCTATCTGATACAAGATAATTCAAAGTTGTGGCAGGAGATTGCTGTTAATAAGTGTATGGTGTTTGGGAGGATTCTACTCTATTGGAATGACAGATAGTGGATTCTGTTGGTACACTATTACCATAAGAACATTCTGCCAGTGACATACACTAGATCAATGTGCATATTTTCAAGAACAAAATGTACTGCCAGCATTAGATGGTCAGAAATACTGAAGAGCCAAAAGGCTGCATCATTATTAGATAATGCCCCAGTCCTTAGCATGAAAATAGAATGAAAGGCAATTGAAGCAGCCCTACATAAGCCTGGGCCAGTGAAGTTTTCTCTGTTTTCTCATACACTGAAAAGACAATTTAGGCCCGAGAGTAATGAGATATAATAGGCTATTGGACATTAACACACGGATATATAAGTATATTGTAGTTAGACCATTATTATCATCTCAGATTTGTAGGAAGTAGCACAGAAATTGTAGTAATAAAATACAGAAAATAACCTCATCTCCCACAAGGAGGACAAAATAGAATAATAAAACCACTTTAAAATTTATTTTAATTTCTTGGTGATAAACTCCACCATAAAACACATAACATAGTACATCCCACAGCTCTTTAAAGAGGTCAATAACCTCTGGCCTCACTCAGACCTTAAAGAGGAATGTTGGTCAGTGTGAACGATGGTGGTGGATTGCCAGATACAAATACCTGGTTGGAAGGAAACACACTTCTCTTACAGCAGTCATGGAGCAATTGCTGCTGCCTACCACAACCTCACAGATTCCAACAGATTACCCTAAAGCTAATTTTCAGTTACAGTCCTTTCTCCTGTCCACCACACCAACAAGCAAACATTTATAAAGTATTTAAAAATGTGTAACATATTTAACTCCCAGAAAATAAATTTCCAATTAGAACCTTAATAATTTACAAAGAAAAGTGGAGATACTAGCTAGTACTATAGTCTACATGATCATACCTGGGTGAATATGGTTAGAATCCTGCACAGTGAGGAAAGAAGCCCTGTTCCATAGGCAGGGTTCTGCAGCCGTAATTCTGTATGATGCAATGTCATACCTTAATGATAAGACATACAGACAGTCAGTAGCACTGAATGCTCTTTCTTCGGGGGCAGGGGGACTTGAAATAAAATGACTAAAGACAGCTGTTGAATTCCCATTATTTTAGCCTTGGTAAAAACAGTCATTTTAATCTGGGACAAATTTGATGCATGCTCTTGCTATCAGGTGCTCCAGCTACTTGTTTGCCCCAGGACTAGCCTTATTAGCATCCATGAAATAGAGGGCCAAATCATGGAATTGGATAGAAAGCAGCTGGAATTAACTAGCAACAGCAATTAAAAAGAAAGGTGGGAAGCAATGATCTTTTGTAATCTTTCTCTTTTATAAGAGAACTCTGAATAGTTCAAATTAGCAGTTACTTATGCCAAGTAAGCATGAGAAACTTTTTTTTTCCAATGCTTTGATGAGAAAGTATTGGTACCTTATTCATATTACTTTTCATCAAATTTCATCTGTTTTATTTCTCTTTATTTCTAAGTTGTTTAATTAAAATGCATCTCACAAAACTTAAAATAGTACATTGATGGAAGCACTATAAGTCCTTGCATATATATATATATATATACACACACATGTATAGGGTCCTCTCAAAGAGATACTCTAAGTTTTCTGTAATGTTTTTCAAGAAGGCTAGATAAATTGTTTTCAGGTTTTTGTAACTGCAGAAATAGTCATTTAATTTGGCTGTATGCCAACACTATTTATACCAACTCAATTTATTTATTTACTCATTCATTCTTAAATGTGCATGCACACACATGCAAAGGGGAGGACATTATAACTTGACTGAAAAATTGAGCAAACTGGTCACAGACAAAATAAACATGGATGTACATTCCCTCACTTGGAATTTAACACTTGGCACCAGGCAAAAATGGTCTCGTTCATCAGCTGCAGAGCATAAAATACACAGATAATCAAAGTTTGTTTGAACATATGGGAGAAAAGGATGTTGTAAATGCTTTCATTCACTTATGTATTTCAACAGTCTGTGTTGTTTAATAAATAGCTCAGATGATCATACTTCTCTTCAGTTTCTATAGATTATTATAGAACTACACAAAGAATGTAAAATCCCTGCTAATGACTGTCAAAAGAAGAAAGCAGACTTTTCCCTGTGTTAGTACCTCTTAATCTATGTGTGATAAAAAAGCATTATCTAAAAAAACTCATATACCAATGTAATTAGATTTATAGATTTCAGTTCTATAATTCAATGCAATTTATATTCTGATTTAAACCATGAATAAATTGTATTCTGTCCTTGCCAGTATCTCACACTGCTGCAGGAATACAAAGGCAAATTAGAAATAGGTTTTCTCATTCCTCAAAAGCAATAGTAGTAATACAAAGTGTAAGGAAGTTTAAAATTGTGAAACCTGGTCCTCCCACAGCCCAGGCGTGTAGTGTGTTCTTCCTATAAGTAGAGTACATACAATACCACAATTTGTGACAGCTATTTTCATATCATAAAATAATAGAAAAAAAAAAGTTGGAAGGGGATACTGTAGATCATCCAATTCTTCTGATTCATCTTCCGGTCAGATGGCAGTTATGAGCAAATGTTCTGTAGGTTGGCGAAAGCACAATTTGGAAATCTAAGCCTATTAATGAGTTTGGACTTTATCTGGAAATGGCTGATAAACAGAGAATACTATATGAATATTCCATTGTATGGGGAATTCAGTGCACAATAAAACCAGTAATGAGCAATTAGTATTTTATTTCATTTCAGTGTATAATAAACTGTATGTGCATCTGTGTGTTTTCTCTCTCCTTCTCCTTACTGTTCTCTTTCTTTTCCTGCATCCATTATTTATGAACCATTTTTCCCACCATATCAGTTAAACATCTCATGACAAATGCACAGTGTGGCATTTAGTATAGTATAACCATATCTGATTTTTACCTGTTTTTATATCTGTGTGGGCCAGACTATCGTAACTGCCATTTTTAGTAGTATATTTTATATGGGCAAAAGGAGAATAGCAAGAATAAAACGTGTCATAGTTACTCTGGATCAGAACGTCTGCCTGACTTGTTATATTAATAACTGTAAATGTTAAATGTCTTTCAGAATCTTTTATTTGAGCTATTTGCAAAGAATAGGATGTTAGTAAAGTAGTGGTAGCACCCCATTTTTAGTAGTGTTTTGTTGTAGTATTGACTGAGCTGCTGCCAAATGTTTGTTATATAGAATTTGTCATTGGATGAAAGGTTAAAATCTAAGTAAGAAGACAGGAAAATCTGAAATGTGAAGTGTTTTGTCTTCAAAAATGTGATTATATAACTGTTACCTCACATAGAGCTAAGAAAGTTTTCCACTATGAATTCCAAGGCCAGCACTAGTAGCATTTAGGTACTTCTGTTCCCTTGAACTTTAGACTGAAATATCACACGTCAAGGAAAGAGTAAAGCTTGTGCAGTAGATAAAAATGCAGAAAAATAACAACCCTGTATGCGTGTTTGACTTCTAAAACTTAATGCAGACAGTGCCATAATAGTATATGATCAAGTGCATATTGCCGTTTATAGTACAACTGCATTACTGCAAATGGGGAAAAAAAAAAAAAAACACAGGAAATTCAGGACTGAGGGTTTGAGCACTAGAATGTGAATTTCCTCATTTTCCTTGACACTGCATATGCAGTCTTTTGAGGGCAGGTCTAAGTGGCAGGGGCTGGCTCCTAGACTGAAGTTCTAGAAGATTTCAAAGCTCGTTTTTTACTTAGTGGCGATGTGGAAAGAGATTTTTAAAACAATTAAAAAAATAAAAAGAGGTATAAGCCATATGATCCAAAATAATGGAAAACCATGACCATCTTAGGACCAGCGTTCAAATAATGCTTCATATGCAAATCCACAGAAGCTCCACCTATCACACTCATTCTCAAACAGTAATTTCAGCCAGCTTCACTCCAGCATTCTCATCAGCCATTCTCACCGTTTTTTGCACAACCACACAGCATAGACAAGATTATCTTCCTAAGGATTATTGCATTATAGTCTTACAGGAATATAAAGCACTCTGGGCTGTCTTATCATAGGTGTGTAATGAAAGCCTTAGTAGTCAGTGTAATGGTTGATTGATAAGAAGACTTCTTATTTCAATCCAAAAAGTTTACAAACACCTTCATATTAATTATCCCAGTGGGAATCCAGAGCCAGATTTAATGACTTCAAGTGAAAATAAAGAAAGCTGTTCCGTTCAGACCATTATTGTTCATGCTGCTTTGTGAATTTATTTCTTTAAATTTTCCACTTGTGCTCCTGCCAAGAGAGATCTATTAGACAGTAAGCAGCAAGAGTAAAACTTTATCATTTTGTTTCAAACTATAAAATAATTTACATCACATATTTTACTTACTTTTGTCTTTTTTTTTTTTTTTGAAACCACAAACATTCCAGCATCACACTGTAGGAATAAGAATAACAATAGAAAGCATAACCTTTTTGCATAGTATTAAATGAACAGACAGAGTAAGTTCTTTATTTACAATTATTGTCTAGATAAAAAAATTCATAAAAACAAGATGAATGAACATATATTAATAACCCCTAGAGGGATGGACTGCCAATGTACCACTGTATTGTTGTCCACAAATCTCATGCTGCTAAGTACAGTACGTAGAGAGCGAGCATTTATATATTGCAGGGAGTTTTAACAAACTGATCATTTTGGTTTTTGATCCATTGTTCCCATCACAGAGAGGTCAAGCAATAAAAGAAAAGAATTGTGACGCACGACTTGTATTTGAAAAGTCTTAGCTATTCTGCTTAAAAAAAAAAATCTATAATTTATCATATACATAAAGCACAGTCTCTGCTCACAAAAGCCCAAATGTTCTATGCATCTCAGTTTATATATGTTTTACTATATATACACAGAATGCAGTGTTCGTTTTCTTAACAGTTTTCAAGTCTGCAAATGGTACCTTAGGGAGCGGTATTCCTGCTTTTTTTGGAAAAGTTAAAAAAAAAGAAACCCAAGAAAAAATATGGAAGTGTTTGAAAACAAAGGCAAAAATTCAGTGTTAAGATGCTGAACATAAATCGTTCCAGTATTGGTAGCTTTTGTAGATGTTCAAGTCCAAAGCTAGAGGCTTCCCTGCAAATAGATAATACTTTTGTTTCTTTTGAATATGATATCCCAAGTAGGCCATAGAAACCCAATACATGTTATACAAAGGTTAATCACCATATTTACAAAGCGAAGAACAATCCTGACTGAGTTTCAATCACTTTGTTGCTAGGAATTAACTAAAATAATTACGTATTCATGCTAGATTTTTTTACTGTTAAGAAATAGGTAAGACTATCTGTTGAAAACAGAGCTGTATAGCTTTCAAAGACCTGTTCTGCTGTTGCTTCAGTGAGAAGTGGACCAGATAGTGAACTACAAGTTTGAGCCAAAAACATTCAAGCTTCTACACAAAGTCCGGAAGCTGGCAATTCAAGCTTTACCTGGCTGAATAGTCCTGATACACCCTTAAAACATTTTAGTCAGTTCAGTCTGCAGTTTGGACATGAGTCTAATCTTGTTTTGGAGAGTTCTGGCTTGAATTAGTTCTTGTGACTGCAGAGATGCACCATGTTATTAGCCAACTTTTACACAGCTGGTAATACCTTAACAGATCAATTTATCAAGCTAGTTTGAGAGTGTATTTCAACACATCTGGCATAATTGTGTAGTTCAAAATGTCTTTTGCACTGTACAGTTATGGAAAAGATCATATGTTGAAAAGTCTCCAAGCAAACTTTATATTAAATACAAAAATTATTTATGAAAAATCTGTGATCCACAAAGTGCTTAGCATTCAAGTGGTTGACATAGCAATTATATAAGCTCATAAATTTTAAGTTTACCAGGGCTGTTACCATCTTGAAAAATATTTTTTCACTCTCTATACTGCAGGTTTTCAAAATAGCTTTCTTTGTAGAAAGCTCAATAATAAGGTAAAACAATGTATTACTGTGTTACAGTATATTTTGTGACAACAGGAAGACAAGCTTAGTTAAAAAAAAAAGTTCACACAAAGCACATCTCCATAATTAACAAAGTTTCATTGAGATCTAAATAGTGCAGAAATTGTTTTTTTCTTTAAAAAGAAAAATGAAAGCAACAACCTACAGTGATTTTCATCCAAAATGTCAACAGCCCATACTTGGTAAGTCATAAGGAAATAAATGCCTAAAATACTAAATGAAAAGAATTAACACAGTATATCACAATAGTTTAAAATTAGTTTGATCTCCATATAGACAAACCAAATATAACTTATTTTTAATCTTTATTTATAAACTCAACTCAGTTTCATGTGCTAACTCTCTAAAAATATTTTTAGGAAGCCATTGCCATATGTTTAAAGAATGAAACAGCCTCCGTTATCATATGTTGCACCAAAACAAGTTCAAGCAATTTATTAGAGGAAAAAGAAAAGAGAGAACCTGATCATTCTGATTTTTATTTGAAACAAAGGAAGCCTGTTTTACCTCCCTGTATATAGGACCACAATGCTACATCCAATATGTTATATTTTGGCTTCTTTGTTAATTTACTAGCAGTATCTACATTATTTAACAAACAAACAAAAAAAAGGCAGAAATCAGAACACGATTGTACTAAAATATCCAGGGTGTGATATTACAGACATTTTCAATGAGCTGAGCCATTTTTATACTACTTCGGCAGGAAGTGCTTTCTTAACCCTACAAATAGTTAAGGATATTATCTACAGGTTTGTAAACAAATTACATTCTTTTTTAGGACATAAATAAGTTAAAATAGTCAGAGCAATTTGAGCAGAAACAAGGCAACATGCCAACAAAGAAACTTTATATATATATAATTATATATATATAGATAGATATATACATATATATAATTAATTATGTATATACTTATATGTATATATCTCTATATATAGTCTTGTAAATGTTTAAGTTCCTCTGTCCAACTGGTGCAAATCTACTGTGCAAGTTAAGCTTTGCAACTTCAAAAAGTTATTTAAATTAATCTATACAACTGAGTCCATGCCACACAAGCATTTCAAAAAACTCACAGACCAGTGAATTAGATAAATAGCCTCTGAAAGAAGTCCTCTGCAGTTCCTGCATAAGGAGGAGGAAAAAAAAAAAAGAAAGAAAGAAAAAGAAACAAAAAGAGAGAAAGAAGGGCTGGAAGTGTACAGTACATTCATGCAGGAGGAATTGTTTCTGTTTTTCTGAAAGGGAACAAGAGCAGGTATGTAAATCAGCCATTCATTCTTTCCCAAAACCATTGTGATCAACAATTCATTCACTTGTCTCAAAGAGAATAAGAGTTCAAACAGCTTTTCAGCCAGCAATGTTTTTAATATATATATTTATATATTCCGGTTGCTGTTTTTTTTTTTTTTTTAATTTTTTAGATATTTTTTTTGCGGTGATCTTTTCAGCTAAAGTGATGTCTCCAGGCTATGTATTGGGCTTCCTGGACTAGAAGAGGTAGCTGATTTACTTGTGTCAGTTGTAAGATTTATTCCACTGTCGATAGCACTGTTGTTCTTGTTCAAAGAAGATGGTGGACTTGAGTTTTTCTTGAGAGCAGGGTCTTCTTCTAGGTCTGTGTCATCAATGAGTGGGATGTGGGGCTGGGAATCTTCTATCCTAAACTCAGGATGAGTCATAAAGTTGTGAATAGAGGTTCTAGATTCTGGTTTTTCTAAACCTTCATAGAGAGAGCTACGGAATGCCTTCACGACGCGGATCTGGGGGGAGAAAGGAAAGAGATGTCAGAAGGAGCACCTAGAAGGGGCAGCACGGTGTTAGAGAATACTTGGTGAAAAATGTGGCATATGGTTAGGGCAGTGCAGGCAGCTGAAGTCCATAGTCTCTGGATGTTATATGCATAAACGAGTGGCTCAGTTATGTGCATTTTGTATCAACTGCAATGTTAAAATAAACCACGTTTAAAGCCATCAAAGAACTGATGGGAAGTACTGGTTAAAGAAAACGAACGTCCACTCGTGTGGTACATCCCTAGTAAAAGACAAGCCATGTTAATTGTAATGCAAATGTAAAACCATGCAGGTTGACAGTTTTGCAGTGAGTAAGTAGGAAGGCTTTTTTTATTTATTTAGAAAAGTCTCTTTGTGTTGTTAAAAGGAACATTACACATAACATATCACACTTGCACAAACAGAAAAGCAGAGAACACAGACAAAGTAGGATGGGTACATATGAGACACACACAGAAGCCCAGTGTAAAAACTATAAGTAACATAAATGTTTTAAAGCAAAATCTAAATGAATGCAGCCAGGAGCACAAAAAGCCAAGCAGACAAAATACTAAGCAAAATCATGCTACCACAGGGGGAAAAAAAAAAGTCACAGTTACCACATGAACAGAGATAACTTGCACACAACAACTACACTTGGAAGCCTGGATAATGTGAACATAGTATTGTTGAACCAACTTTCATTTGTCCTTCATGCATATGTGAGGTAAACACTCGAGTATAGACCCACTGTTCTAGCCATTTAACTTTTTGAATATATATAGAACATGCAATAAAATAGAATTTTGATTTTAGGTTTGAATTGAATTACATTGTTAAACAGCAAGCTTTTTGTTTTGTGCATCTCAGTTGTAATACTGTTTGTAAGATTAAATCGTGAAAAATGACACAATTTTTGCCATATATGCAGTCTTTAGTCAGTTAGTTTATGCCAGGATAATTCTAAAGTGTTTAACTACCTGACAATGAGAACAGAGGTGAAAATAAACTACAAAGGCCCATTAGAGTATCAGTGAAGGTGCCAAGTTGCTTTCCCAATAGGAAATGAAAGGCTGAGGGGGCCCAGCAGGGATGGGGACAGTCATTGCTCTGTGCCTGGGCAAGGGAGCCACGCCGGATGCAGCCCAGGCTCCCAGCTGACCGCAAGGATTGTGCTGTACGTTACTAGTGAGAAAACTGCAACTTTATTGGAGGGGGAGAGGCGCGGATTGGATGGGGGGCAGAGAGGGAAGAACAGAATGGCAAAAATGTGATCTGTTGTCAAATGTTTTATGACTAAATATGAGTTCTATCCTTCTACTTCCATGTAGTTTATGAGTGAATTTTTAGCATTTCTTGGCGGGGGGGGGGGGGGAGGTAGACCAAAACACAGGCAGAGGCAGAAAAGGTGCAAGCAGGCATTGTGAAAGCTTTTCCACACACATTTAAATGGTTTGGTGGTAGGTATGTGTATTGTTTTACATGTGAATATGCTGCAAGTTACTCTTTGGCCTAATACATCAATAATCTTTAAAGCTTTAATTCTTCTTTTAATTGGCAGGCAGAATTTTAGCAATGGGTCACAGTGTTACATCTATGGGATCTAGCTGATCCGGGGTTTGGAGTCCAAGTTGCTGCAGGATTTCAGCAGATTTGAGAAGAAAAAAAACAGCTGAATAGTACTTTGTTCTCTTTGAATTTTGTCCATGTTTATGGTCTCTAACTGAATATTCCTCATCCTTCCAAAATGCTAGTAGCAGAAGACAATCAGGTAAAAATTCAAATAAATGGCTGTCAATCAGTCTAATTACCCACCCTTGTTTTTTTTTTTTTGTAAGAGCAGTGCAAAAAACAGATTCATTTGACTGCTTGTTTTAGAAATACGAGGTACAGAGTGGTACATCTATTTTGCAGTGCTAGAAGAGTCTAGATTTCCATAAGGTAGCAAAGGTACAAGAGGAGGACAAAAAAGGTAAAATTTATGCACAGTATGCTGTAGGCAGATGCCTCCTCTATATAACACCTCAAATTACAAAACAGGGCTTTAGACAACTGGAGTCTTTTTGAAGTGTGCTGTGGTACAGGATGGTTTTATACTGGGAGAAGAGATTCATTTACATTACTGAATATAGGATTTGAGCTCTATCTGAAGAGAAGAGCTGATACTAATTAATTGTTTAGGCCATTCTATGTTGTATTTTAAAATGCAAAGTTGAAGAGTCTAAACAATGAAAAATAGTGTTTCTCAAAGTAATTTTTAATGTGTTATTAGATTTTAAATCAGGAATTCTTTTTATAACGTGCTTGCTTTATAATACAGGCTGGGATAGTGGTATTAAAGCTACCTGTTTTTCTGCTTTCAAAAATAGGTCATCATTCAGTTGAAGTTGTTCACTATGTTTTATTTACTAGAATAGAATCCTTTTATTCTCTTTAATACCGTGACGTCTTACTGCATAGATTTAGGTTCTAGTCTGCATATTAAAAATTTACTTAAATGAGAAGGCTTGTAATTTCATACTACTTTTGAACAGATTTTTTAGAGATTTTCAGTGAAATAAAAGCTTTTCTTGAGGTCACAAACCTGTATTTAAGGTTATCAAAGGAGCAACTAAATTGCATTTTTTTTAGGGAAAACAACCAGTGAAGTCACTGGGAATTCTGCTTACACTTGGCTGCAGAAGTAGACTCTAAAAAAAGGATACAATTGAGTAAACACAGATTTTAAATGTTCTAAAGATTCTGTGTCCAAATTACACTTAATACCAAGATTTAGGATCTAATACGCATTTAATAACAAGTTTTTAGTCAATCTGCAGCACACTATCTTCTTATACAGCTTAGGGAAAACTGTAGCTCTAGGTTAGTATTTGAAAACTGATTCTGAAAACTTGCTTACCATGACTAGAATCCAGTCCCTCCACTGCTACCGCTTGAATAAATGATCTACTGGAAGAAAATGCTACCCTAGCATCTTTTGCGTGGACTTGATACATTTACACAACAGGCTGAAGGTAAAATTGGAAAATCACTCAGCAGTTTTAACATAGACTGTTTTGAGACTTGCAAGAAACTTTAGATATTGCTGACGTGATGTCTACTTGTGTGATTTTTACTAGAAATATTAACTTAAATCTAGCTCGGATATGATGATAACAGAAGTAGTTCGTCTTCTGAATTGGACAAGTTCTAACCTGAAAACACAAAAATACAGTCAACTTTCTAGTAAATGTTCTTTACTAAGGAGCTGTAGAAAACGACCTCCTTCACTAAAAAGCTCTTTACAATTTCAGGGTTGTCTTCCATTAACTTTTCCCTTTTTTAGTGCTTTGTCTTATTCAATGACAGAATTTCTGCATTACAATGTAATTCAAAATCTTGTTACAGTCTGTCTGGCAATCCATTGCTTACAAGAGTGGGAAAAAAAAAAAGGCTTTGTGGAAACAAAAAGGTTTGCCAGTTGCACAGGTTTGCATTTTAACTTATACAAAATTACTCCAAGAACTGTTAACTAAATTGCTTAGTAAAAGAGCAACAGATTATTTTAATATTTGCTTATGCTTAAATAGTATTTGAATTAACATGTTAGCATGTAGTGTAAGAATGTTTAGTGGCTCTGCTAAAACAAAACTCATCTAGCATAGTTACTTTCTACAGATAAAAACAGGCTATCCAACTTCACATGATGCTGTTAGAGCTGTACAGCATGTAAAGCAGGGACATACCCACGATGGATAGAACCTACTAAGTGTTGGTTTATTAGGAGACGTGGCGTTCATGTAATGAGATTTCTTTATGATACGGACAATGCCAAGGGAAGACAAACAGTGTGATACAGTTCCCTTTTCCCACAGTAATGGAGACAACAGAGAAAATGAACTGCTTTTAAACAAAAGACTGTGGGGACAACACTTCAGGACATTTTTGACATGGCTATAAGTTTCCACTTCTTTCTTCGCTGTAGCTGTAACAGAAAAAACTTCAGTTTCATCCCACCTTGAAAGTTAAATTTCTTATACTGCATCAGGCAACAAAAATAAAAGAAATAGAATTTTAGATATTATGATTTTTTCCCCATCAGAAGAAAAAGGTGAAGTTCAGAATCTCATCCCTAAATACAACAAATCTAGGCAAAATATGCAAGGCCTGTTTAGGATCAACAGCATTATTATGGTTGGTAGTGTGTGGGCTTATACTCGAATGTTTACCTGGCTTCTTTTAAGCCAAGTATCTTGAGTTTGGTTCACATTCATTTCAGGCTCAAGGTTAAAGACTCACA